CTTTTCCCCTGGTGGAAAAGGCCGGAAAAATTTTTTTTTTTTTTTTTTTTTTTTTTTTTTCCCCAGGCCTTGTTATGCAACACAGTTGCCTGAAAGAACCTGGGCTAAAAGTCTTGATTACTGATTTTCCTACACACTTAATCTTGTTCAGACCTACTTTGATAGACTTAACATTTCTGCAATTGGTAGAGGTTTCTGAGTCATCAAAGCTGCATAAACTCGTACCTAATCAGACTGATGCCTTTAAGTAATCCTCTAGCAAACTCCCATTCTGGAAGATAATATATTTAATTTTGATTCTGTGTCCTCCAGGTAAACTCTTTTAATTTCAGACCCAGAAGATGCAACCAAAGAAGGAGCCATACTGTGTCTTCTTGAAGCTGTCAAATGAAAATGACTCTTAGTTTGACAGCTGTATGTCCCTCTGACAGGAAGCCTAAAACACAGGTTCATAGAATGGTTGAGGTTGGAAGGGACCTCTAGAGGTCGCCTAGTCCAACCCCCCTGCTCAAGCAGGGACACCTAGAGCACATGGCACAACCATCTTTCATTGATGGGATGGCACTGCGGCCCGTATTACCAAAATCCAAGTGCTCCTGTTCCGGTGCTGTCTCCTAACCTGCCCCTGCCAGGTCCATGTTGAATAATTCCTGTGGGAAGGTAGCGCTCATTGCAGGGGAGATGCCATGGTAGAAACTGGACAACTCATTTCCTGCCTCAGCTCAGACAAAGCTGAGCAATCCTGCGTATGTGGAATGTGAGAAGTAATCAGCCATTCTGCCTAGCTGAGCTGAAGTTACCCTTGAGTTTACTTTCCCTGTTATGCCATAGAGAGGGAAAACTGTCTGAAAAGTAGCTCTGCAGTAGTATGATGCCTGGCTCGTTGGCTCTGCTTGTTATTTTGAGGTCGGTACTGCTGACTGGTACAAGGAATGCTGACTTTCCCTTCATGCACCAAAGGCCTTGTAGCCTTATCGCAGGCTTCTAAAGCAGGTCACTGAGAGCATCTGATCCAGTGCTTAGCTCATACGCCAGAAAGATGATTATTATTAAATGCTTATTGTTGGAAACATATTTACCGGTCCTTATACTGTTTTTTTTTTTTTTTTAAAAAAAAGAACAATTACATCCAGAGAAATGAGAAGAATTTTTTTTTGTTGTTTCATTTGTCAGTAGTGTGTATGAGAGGAAGGCAGCTTGGTATTTCCCTTAGGGAATCTCTTCCAGGTTCTAGGATTCTATAGGTCTTGGTCTTAAATTCCTCATGACGCTGTGAAATAATTTACAGAAGACGTGATTTTTTTTCTCCTTATTTCCATGTGTTTCATCAGTTGTCAATCTTAAATCTCAAGACTACAAGCAGTCATGAAGATTAAACCAAAGCCTTCAGTCTTGTCTTGAAGGATAGTCAACACATGCTTTCTACTCTGAAGTTTCAGGGATTTTTTTTTTTATGATGATTGATTTTCTTTTGTTTGATAGGGCTTATTTATTTATTTATTGGAACTGCATCGAGAACAACAGTCAGTGAATTAATCTCCTGTCTAGAATTTACTCTTAGGTTTCTCTTTTTGAGTTATAATAGTGTCAAACTTATTGCTACTTGTCTTTACTAAAGATATGTGCATCGATATCTGGTTAAGTTTGTGCCATCTATCTTGCATTGAAAAATGTAGAAGGATATCGTTTGTGGATATCCTGCAGAAGGATATCGTTTGTGTTGCCTGAGAAGTATTAGTTACCATTTACTTTGCAGTGTGAGGTAAGGAAGGAGGATTGTGTTTTGTCTCAACAAGATTGTCTGGGCTTGGGGCTTTTGTTCTTTTGGTAGGTGGAAGAAAAGTTTCAAGGTATGTGGGCTTTTATGGGGGGGATATTTCTCCAAGGACAGCCATCATTTATATATGTTCGTGCTAATTGCAACAAGCTCAAGTTCATTTAGTGTGCAGATAGGAAAAGGGTGTCTTTTGTTAAAAATGTGGAGAAGAAACTTTTGTCTTCACTTGAAAACTTTAAAACTTCAATGTTGTTTTATTGGATGGAAAGATCTCACTAGAATCTATTGACTGCTCTGCTTAACATCTTTCCTTCCTCCTAGATTAAGAGCACAGCAAACTTGAGTGACTGATCTTGCTTTAATGTCATTTTTCATGTCACTTTTTCACCTTACGTTGTGTTTTAGGGTTGCTTTTTATTTTGTGTTTGGGGTAGAAAGAATCTTGTATCACAGTCAGCAACCTATACTGATAAGTCATAGTTTTAGAATTTGTTTTGCAGTAGACGTTCATTCAACGAATGAAGTATCTCCCAGAAAGGTATTGACTTGTCTTTTTTTCTTTCTCACTTTTCTGAAATGTGAAGTGGAGCTTTACTAGGGATTCTTTTGCAGTTGAGGTAGTGGGAGGAGAGAAAAATGAGGAGTCCTCTTTCCCATTATAAAATAAGAAAGGGCAGGGAAGAGTGAGAAGAGGAAAGAAAGGAGAGGAAATTCTCGCTTACCTGTTCAGCTTACGAAGTTCTTCATGGTCATTCAGCTCTCCCTTAAATGTGTTAGTGCTAGACTAGCATCTCTTAGGAGTAACTAAACTGTTCTTTTCCTACACAAATACATCATCCTTTCTTTCTTTCGGAAACAACATTATTTTCTAGCCCTTGCACAGTGTTAGCAAATACAACGTTGTCCTTTTAATCTGGAAAGCAGGCGTGCAGCTGCCACCTGCACTGCTGCTCTCTGCCTGCTGCAGGATTCGCCGGAGTCTCAAATCCGGAGCATCCATCTCAGCCACATGTTGCACATTGTTGTACGTTGTGAGCAGGGAGGGGAGCCCAAACCTGGTCGTTGTCTGTCCCCGAGACCTGCTGTTGCCTTTTTAAGGGGATATTTGTTGCAGGATAGTTACAGGGTGTTTTAAGAGTTTTATCAATAAGTGCTCTTGTTATAATGGTGCAAGGAGAAAATAGAGGTATTTTTGTAAAGTAAGACCAGAGAATTTGAATGGGATGGTTTTGTGGTTACAGAACATGTAAGCAGATGTTAGAAATATTTCCCACCTCAACTCTGAGGCAGGGAAGTAGTCTGAATGTACATCAGGAATCCAGAAAATCAGAATCAAGGAAGAAGATAATGAGTGTTGCTTAATGGAAAAGCTGCCTGTCAGGCTTTTCGAGGAGAATTTCCCTCCCCTCCTCCTGTGTGCCCCTGTGAAGGAGAAACTTGTTTCTCTTGAGGGCATTTGTGTTGAATACACACGCTAGACGATGCCATCAGCAACAAGTAGATTTATGGGAGCACTGTCATTCCTACAGGGAAGCGAGGGTGGGTTGTGGCAGCTTAGTTAGTCTGGGTGAAGGAGAGTAAATTCCAGTAAAATACTTGGGCTGATAAGAGAGAGAGGAACTAAATGCTTAGTTTGGTTGTTTTGGGACCTGCATCAACATAATTGAAAATGAAGATCCTAAAATACGGAATACAGACAATTTGTGTTCCCTCTTACGGGAATAGATCTTTCTCCCTTGTAAATGCATATGCTACTTTATAGATTGAGGAAGTTAACATTTTCTGTAGAAGTAATTTATGCTGGTGCAGATGAGAAGGCTTTGGATATACAGTTGAACAAAGTAAGGGCCTTCATTTTTTTATAGAGAGAGATTCTATTTTTATTTATTTGTTTGTGGTAATATTTAATGAGTTCCCTCTTAGTACTTTGCTTTTGCCTGAAGAGCATGGTGCTATATTAGATCCATGGCACCTCTTTTTGGATGATAAAATCATGCTGACAGCTCACAGTGGGAGATTAGAGATTGTCAGAGATTTCCCCCATGGCATTTTGGAACCAGACACGGAATTTTTCGAACTTACTCAGAGAATTGACTTTTAATATTCTTATTTATTTAGGTTTCTGTGCTGTATGACTAATATCTTTTACTGTCTCTTTGATGGAGTATGCCAAAGGAATTTTGCTGCTGTTTTGCTGGGAGGCTGCATATGTCTGTAGTCAGAGTCCAAGCAAATATAATATTACAAAATGATTTTCCTCTTATTAAGAGAGGCTGGGGAAGCCGATATGCTTTGCTCTTTGGACCTTGATTCTTGGCATCCTGTGATTGTTGATTAGGACAGAATGTGTTTTAAGACCTATTTAAAAATATATGTATTTTTTGAAAAATGACTAAGCTGACAGGATTTGTTGTTCTGTGAGGATAGCAGTTGCCCTTGGGACAGGTGGGAAGACATGCTTGCGTAGTCCTAATAGGCTCTATTTCTGTAAGAGAGCTTAAAACGTGGAGAGAATGATGAAGAAGCAAATATTTTTCTTCTTGCTAGATGTGTTTGTACTAAAGAAAACTGCTATAGTGTTTCTAAAAAAAAAAAAAAAAAAAGTGTAAATGATTTTGCATTTTCAATAAATTTCTTCTGAAGTGAGACGTTTACTTCAAGTAGTGTTTTTTCCCTTGCATTTATTTACAGAAATGAAAATATTCTGAAAACATATTAAAGTTGATTCTTTAGATTGAAGTCCGAATGTATTATTTTGAAGAGAGAAAATAGATGGCCTGAGGGAGTGACCTGAATGACTAATTTGCCAGGCTTGCATAAAGAGAAATTGGCTCTTTTTTTTTTTTTTAACCTCCCTGTAACAGGAAAGTAGTAATAATAATAATCCCTTATTAAGCTGTTTGACAGGGAAGAGAAGAATAAATAATTAACAATAGTTACCACTAAGTAGCAAGAATGAGAACCCCAATTACTCTCCATCAAACTCTGGCAGTCCAAAAAAGTGAAACAAGCTTATTTTTAACCTCTTGCTGCCTTTTTTTTTTTTTTCCCTATTATCTGTACTGATGACCTTCACAAAAGACTTTTTTTTTTAAAAAAAGGAAATTTACATCCTAATAACTGCTTCCCCCCACTCCTGTGGAGGGACGATACTTTGTGGATCTGCCAGGAATGCTCTTCAGGATGATCCTCTGTGCCAGAGCTTGTTTTGAAGGGATTGAGTTATCCCTTGTTTCCAGCGGCAAATTGTTCAAGGGCTAAAGTACAAGCATAAAAGATACTGTAACTGTGACCTCCCTCCCCTGCCATGGATACCAATATCATTTATGTATTGTTTTATGTCAATTTTTGGAGTGGGGACAGAGGCAGCATTCCTTATGCTTAGGACCAAACTATAGGGCCAGTCAAACATTGATGTGTTCATATGTTATCTCCAGGCTCACATAAATCAAGTTGGATTTAAACCATCTTGTGGCAGAGTCACTGAAGCACAAAAGCCGTTTCCAGTCTGTCACGGTAGAACCTGACAGCAGAGCTACAGAGTTGCTCTTCCTCTGTCAATGGGAAACTTGAGTAACCGTGTGAAATATGTATTAAAAAAAGCCTTTTTTTTTCCCCTGTGTGGACTTCTGCTATCTTTGAAAATCATTTTACAGTTAACTATTCATGCTTTCTTCATCAAAAGATTTCTAGCAAATCCATGCACACGAGTAGACCCGTTCTTAGTTTTGTCATCTCATCAGTTGCTGCAGGGAAACGTGGGACGTTCATGGTATAAGCTGTCAAGTAAGCAAAGGAGAAAGTAGTTCATGTTTTATATTAAACTTGAGGAGGAATATATCTTAGTAATCTTTATTCAAGAGCCAAATGATCTAGGACATTTTAAAAAACAAAAAACAAAAAAAACAAAACAAAAAAAACAAAAACAAAAAAAGGCATTCCATCTTTCCCTCCTCCACCTGCCAAAAAGCTCATTTATCTTCTGTAGAACATGTTTTGTAGACCTGCATTTGACCTAGAGCAGTATGAACCACTGAAATAATTTATGAACATGGTGTTAATACATTCTTTCTTTAAAGACCTGTAATTTAGGGGATAATTTAGTTCCATGAGATGGTGAGAGGAATGTTCTGTGATTATTTTACCTTTGAATTCAGTATGTTTTCAGCTACAGGATTTGTGTTTCATTTTTAACAACATCAGAGTCGCACAGAATGGTTAAGGTTGGAAGGGACCTTTGAAAATTGTCTAGTCCAACCCTCTTGCATAAACAGGGTCACCTTGATCCGCATGGCACAGGGTGGCATCCAGGTGGGTTTTGAAGATCTCCAGAGAAGGAGACTCCACCACATCCCTGGGCAGCCTGTTCCAGAGCTCTGTCGCCCTCACAGTAAAGTTGTTCTTCCTCACATGCAGACAGAACCTCCTGTGCTTCAGTTTGTGGCCATTGCCTCTTGTCTCATTGCTGGCCACCACTCAAAAGAGTCTAGCTCCAAATCAACGTGAATATTAAGAAATGCACCCGACACTACCTCACAAGATCCAACCATTGACTTTATTTGGCAACTTCTGGTAACGCCTGGTCATGTGAAGAGGTGAAGTTACATATTCTGTAACGTACTGTCCATAAATTAGGATTATCTTAAAAAGTTGGCAGTGACAAGGGGGGGAGATCCTCCCTATGCTGCTAACCATATTTGCCTATGCTTATTATGGTAATGACTCAAGAGCTGCATTTTTTTTTATCTGTAACTCTGCATTTTATAACACTATGCAATTAATAGCAGGAAAGTAAGTCCTACACTGAGGCCTGCAGACACTGTGTTTTCGAGCAGTGTGTGTGGGGAAATGATCATGTACTCCTCTCAGATGATCAATCGTTTTGTATTACTATCCTTGAAGACTGGCCTGTGCTGCAATCCAGGTGTCTTTAGAAGTTGGCATTCTTCTGATGTCTCATTCTTTTTGATGCATATTTAATACAATAAATACACATCCTTCTCGTGAGACCTCTTCTAAACTGTGTGTCTTGGGACAGGAGAAGCATTTTGATGCTTAATCTAGAAAGAGCTTTTGATACTACAGATGGAAATGAAATACAGCTACTAAGCTTAAAAATCTGATTTCAGATAGAAGAAATGGAGGGAAAGGTGGCATATTATCTGACCTGCTCTCTGACCTGCAATGGATGGATGACTAGTCACTTTTCTGTGATCCCTACTTATGAGATGTGGAAAACCTCTGTACCATATTAGATTCAAGAATGTTTATTCAAATTATTTTGTAATTATTAAAATAGAGAATAGAGAACACTTGTTGGCTGTATTTACCAAGATGTGCCAGTTTCCATATTTTTCCTGTCTAAAAATGGTTGTAGGCATAACATTTCAAAGTTGGCTGCCTATTTAAAATATTTATCATAGATAAATTGGTATATAAGATGATAGATTATTTTTGTTACTGAAATAGAACTGCTCATGGAAGTGGAGAACTGTATGTTAGCAGAATGATGAGAGGATTGGGGAAAAAAAATCTCACAGTTAAAATACTTGTTTTCTGCTTTAGAAGGTATCCTGGGATGGCCTGGCCCCAAGTCACATTCCACAGAGCAGCTGAAAAATGGTGCTCTCAGCTCCTTGTCATCTGCCAGCACAAGCATTACGTGGGCGATAGTGCCGTCGGCGGCCCAAGACGGACAGACGCTGCAGCCAAGCACTGAGGTGAGCGTGCGAGCTCTCTGCAGGCCAACTCCTTGTGTCTGGGGCTTGCCACACTGAATAACGTGGTAACCATGTGTGATAGGATGCTTTTATTAACTATTTGCGGTACTTTTTGCTTTATAATGCCTACTGTTTGAAGTACTTGATAAAATACTAGGCTTTATACAGCAATGCACTCTGAAAACTAGAGAAATGTTTACGTGCTCTTCTGTGCTTTTGCAGCTCCGAGGTTCTTGGGACAGAGAATGTGGCAAGTGAACAGTTTCTTTTCTGGTTGTAAAAGCATTTATCAGACTGTCAGTGCATGTTCCTATCTTCTGGTGAGAGAGAAAGCTGTTTGTTTCTAATGCTGGTTTGAAACAGAAGGCGCAAGGACCACCAGGTTTGCTTGCTACTTGGTTTAGGTTCCCTGTTACTGTTTGATCTTGGGCTTCTCTGGGTAACAGCTTGGACTGTTCTCTGAGCTGAGAATTCTCTAGTATTTTCTGACACTTTCTGTTAAAAGATTCTGGGCAAAAGTTGTCCTTGAGACCCTGCAGATTGCTGGTCACCTGGAGTGAATGAAAGCTGGAGAACCAGAGGAAGTTTTGAGAGCACTGAAGAAGCAGTTGTGAATATTCTTTGGAAATTCAAAAGACTTAAATTAAAATATGTACCCTTTAGCAGTGTGTGTAATGTCTGAGGACATAAATAGGGCCATTTGCTTTTTCCAGTTCTTTCAAACTATCTTGAGTTTGAAAACTTCAATCTTTTTTTCTGGTCTGACCTTTAGAAAGTATTTTCCAAGTCTGTTACTCATTATATCCTTTAATCTGTATGTTTAAACTATCTACGTTTGCTTTCCTCTGGGAAGCTGTGTAATTTGTCACTCAGGTAAGCCATCTGCAGGTCTTAGTGAGTCTTTAAGACACAAGGATAGTTAAGAATATTGCTGCAAGAGTCGTGTCATTACTGATTGATGAACTGCAGCTTGTTTCCTTAGGTCTTTCTCAGATATTTCTTGACCACCAGGTGCAACCAAATGTGACTTGGCTTTGCTGCAAGGTGGGAAAGAGCAGCAGCTGATTTAATTGGTCTCAGTATCGTTTTGTGGTTGATCTGACTCATTTGTCATTTGCTTTGAATTAGAAATTGTAAGTTTAAAAACTGGTCTCCTCCTCCCTTGCTTGATGTAAGATACTGAGTTGCGTGTGTGGCTTGAGGTTTTAGGAGCTAGTGATTTCCTGAGAGTATAAAACACTGTGTATAAAATGAGTATAAAACACTGACAGTACTATTTATGTAGTATATTTAGTTGAGAAAATTGCTGTAAAAACAGCTGCAAATCATCACATGCGAGTTACTTCCTCATCCAGGTACATCCGTGTCTATAACTGTGGTGGCATCGCTGAGGAAGGGGACGATGTGGACGGGCTTTTGGTGTTGCAGGCCATGACGGCTTTCTGTTTATCTCACAGGTGCATTTAGATATGGAAGAAAAGATGAATTCACAAGTGTCTTTCAAATGAGACTTCTTATGATGATTTTCTTCTGATTAAAAAGTCCAAAGACTCTCCACTGATCTACATTTCTGAAAAAGTTGCTAATCTATTAATTGGGCTGAGCTTTCAAAGTAGACCTGCTGAAACAAGGGATCCTTGCTTCTACGGAGGTTGTGAGACAAATGTTCTGGTTCCTCTTTCAGTGGAAATCAAAATTAAATTGAGCTTCCTCTTTGACTGTGCCTGGATTTTTATCAAAAAACTCTGTGTATTCTGTATATTTGATGGTGCACCTTATGTTTCTTAGTCAGAAGCTATAGCCCAAAGGAATAGGAGAGAGCGTTTTGGCTAGCATTCAGCATGATATATTAGATGTACCAACTCAACAAAACGTGAATGGAACTGTAGCCTAAAATAGAAAAGGCCCTTGAATTGTTGGCTTTGAGAAACAACCGGCTCAGCAGCTTCTGTTATAAAATGTTACTCCCAAAGACAAGAGTGAGTTTTTTGTTTTCCTAAATGGCATAGAGACTTGCATGGAGACTTATTTTTAGGGTCTGAATACTTGCATCTGGTTATTCCTTCAAATATCTATCAAAAAGTTAAAGCAGAAAGTAAATGTCTTCTTTGAAGCATTTGTGGAAGGTGGTATTCCCTAATGAGCAGCGTGCATCAGTAGCGGTTTAAAGCAAACGAAGCCCAAGGTGCTGGTGCTGCTGGGGGAGCCCCCGAGGAGCCCTTCCCTCGGAGCCGGCTGCGTCCCGCGGCAGTTTCCTGGCAACGCGGGCGGTTGCTGGATGCGCTTCGAGATCGTGGCGCTCGTTCCCAGCGCAGCACGAAGCCGCTCTGCAGCGGCGCGTTGAGCAGAGCCACTAACAACCAGTGCCTGGTTCTCTGCCGTGTTTTATGTGTTTAGGAAGAAAGCCTGGGTCTTCATAATTCTCCTCTGGAATAACAGGGCTCATCTGATGCGGTTTGCTGTACTTAAGCATTCTGGAGAGGTATGATAAGTTTCTGAGTTGCGTTTGGGTGCCATGTGTAACTGAAGTAAACCTGGTTTCTTCTGGTCTCTCCCTGTCAGTGTTCCAGGAAGGCAAAATTCCTCCTCTGGTGAAACACTGTAGCATCTGAAGAGTCTTATTTTAGGTAATATGACAGTGCTCACTTGTTTTTGGTATTAGACGGCTGCTTTCTTCCAAATGTAGGGATGATATTTGAGATATTTCTCTAAAATAGCAGAGAAAATATAAAGTTATATGGCAGAAATGATCCTCTTGCACATTTGCTCATCTGTTTTAGCTTCCGTCTTCATGTTATTTTTCCAAGATGAGAATTCCCATTTAGGGTCACAGAGTAGGACAGCACCAGGGTAAAACCTGCTTTATTCTGTGAATACCATTGAGAGTGACCATGCCTGGTCAAGTGCCTTTATCTTTCATTTTGTTGTACTTCTATATTCTTTAAATCTCTGAGTTTTAGTTCAACTCCACTTTTGGATGGCTTTTGTTTTGTCTACCTGAAACATCAGATGGAAGCAGATGTAAGAGTTGAGCTGACTGGAGATATTCTTCATTTCATGTGAGTTCACTTGGCATATAGTCCATCTTCTTGTTAAATCAGTTAGAACATTTTGGTTTAAGTAGTAATACAGCTTCAAGTTCTTGGCGTTTTAGGGTTTTTCTCTTAGAGCTGGACAGGACAAATCTGGCAAAACATATGCTGGAGGGCGCTCTATCCAGAGCTGTGATAACAACTTGGTCCATGTTCAGTCTGCAGTGAATGGGAAACCTGCTCTCTTTGTGTAATGATAAAAATTTTGGATTACACCTAAGAGACTCTGCAATTAGTTTTAAAATATCAAGGCTCATTGTAAAATCATTTGTAGCAATCTACAATCTTCGTGCTCAAGTAAGATAAAGTCATGAAGCATTTCCACATGGGAGCTGTCGTTCGGGTGCTCCAGACTGTCCTTTGGAGTGTCAAAATCCGCCTTTGACAGGAGATGAAATAGGGCTGCAGGCCAAAGGTTTCCCTTGGCAGCCCTGGGCAAATAGGAAATGGGCTCTTATGGGGACCATGAGAGGGAAGGAATCGCTTTCTCTTTTAGCAGTTTGGGTAAGAGAGGTTGTAAAACTCATCCGGTAGCTGCAGCTGGGCCATAGCTCTCCCTCCTGGTGACTTTGTGCCGTGGGACGTCGCGGCAGCTGATTCCTGCAGTTTTGTGGAGCCGTTATCTGTGCTCCCTGCTCCCCCATCCCTGCTCTCCCATCCCTGTCTTTCCCTTACTCGCAAGCCTGGGAAGCCCATGTTCCCTTCCGAAGGGCCCTTTTAATAGGATTGAGGCTTTAGCTCTGCAGGATTGAGGCTTTAGCCCCGATTACGCAGGGGCTCGGCGGGTTTTAACCCGGGTGCTGAGCGCCAAGGTAGGCGAGTTCAGCTCCGCAGCACCGCTCCCCTCCGCGAGCTCATCCGAACCTCGGCGCCTTCAGCTGTAAGAAGGAGCCGCTCTGTTTGCAGGAGACCCCGCGTCCTTCTCGGAGGGGTTTCTGCCCGCTCTGCTCTGGTGATGGACCCTTCCAGGCTGAGGCTCTTCTACCTAGGTCGGTGTGATGAGGCTTCCACCTCTGTGCAGCCCTTTAGCCTTCGGAGCTGGTGCAGCGTGTGTCAGAGATGACTTACAGAAGCAAAACACAACAAGCCCCTTTGAAAGTCTTTCAGAATTTGAACTGGCTGCGAGAAATTGGAAAGAACAGTTCTTTATATTGGTCTCCCAGCAGACTTGACCAGGGCCCGGCTTGTTTCCTGGTATTTTTGTACTTGGCATGAATCTGTGTAATTGATGGTTGAAGATCAGCTTAATGATAGACACATAGTGCTAGCTACAAGTACTGAAAAGAGAATATATCAGGATGAGAAAGTAATATTTGCAGAATTACAGAGAGTTCCTTTCCACTGTTTAGTACAGATATTAGAGGATTTCTAAATGTGCTCTGGCTTTTGCATTCTGTGTGATTAAATACTTCTCGGGCTGAAGAGGACAGTAAATGGCCTGTAGTGATTTGGGCAGATAAATTAATCTCTAGGTAAAGATGCTGCCAGTTAATGCAATCACTGTCAGACCATCCAAAAAAAAAAAAGAAAAAAAGAAATCTCAGATAATTGAAAATTTCCAGGGAAGGTATATTTACGGATTAAACTTACAATTAAACTAAAAGTAGAATTAAATGGTGATAAGCCTGCTATAGCATCACTGGTAGACAATGATTTATCATAGTCTAACTAATCTTCTTTTTTTTTTTTTTAACATGGCTTTCTTGCAATAGTTACTGTGTCAGCAAATAACTTCTAGTAAAACCGATTATGCAAATAATCTATACAAATTTACTTCCAGTCAAAGCCCTTATACTTTTGAGTCACACCCAACTCCATAACATATGCATTCCACCTGTTCTTTATATAGTATGTGGATATGTATTTAAAATTATAAGGAGAATATTACTTTCAAATACAAAGCTTTAATGTAAAATCTGCATGTAATTTGAATAAACATGAGGCTCCAATTTATGTGGCATTCCATAATTGCTATTGAACTTCAATAAGGTCTTATCATGAGATTTAAAGTATTAAGATTTCCATGCAGTAAGCTTTAAAATTGGCTTTAAAGGGATCAATTGCATTGTTCATCATAACGCCTATGCTCTCTGCACAGCTAATAACTCCAAAGCCCGTGTTAGTTTTATTTCAGGATTGTGTGCCGATTGATTTATTTCGTATTCCCAGTTTTATTTCTCAACCTGTTTATATGTGTGGACTGTGCATTAGTAAGCTCAGCCAGCCCCTCTCATTAAGATCCCCAGTCACTTTGCTAGGCCTCAGTAAGCTGGGCTGAACTCTGTGGAGTTTTCCACAGTCTCAAGAATTTAGCCATATAAAAGATAACAATCCATTAGGTTCATTTTATTTCACTTATAGATTAGTTGAAGTGTTCTCCTGTGACTTATTTATTTTGAAATACTTGAGCTTTTTAATTTTATTTTTTATTTTTATGTTTGTGTGTGGCAGCACTGAGAATGTGTATCATGAATGGGACAAAAAATTTGCAGGAAGAGACAGGGCAGTTAAATCAGTTTGCAAGCTCAAGGAGAAACTGTTAAAATTGCTTGTGTTAATATGGCTTTACCACTTTTCAACTCCTAAAAATATTCTGGCATGTGATAATTGCATGCAAGAAATAACACTACGAGAACTGAGGGTAAAATACATAGAGATGATTGTAAAGATTAAATTCGTGGTTGTCCATCTTTTCATGCCTTCTTTGCATATGTGATTGGCACATTATTAGCTCTCCACTGTGGCTTTTCCTACCATAAATTTGCTTAGCTAGCACACAGAATGATACCCAAGAGAACAGAATTAAGAGCTGTCTGCATGACTTCAGATCTATTGCTGCCTAAGTCTTCAGTTCCTGGACTTTGCAAGCAGACTTAACCATAGAATAATTTTGGCTGGAAGGGTCTTCTGGAGGGTGTGCAGCTCATCCAGTCAAGTCATAAACACTTCCAAGGATCCTCTGGTCAGGTAGTTGAAGATGTGAGGTCTGAGAGATGTCTCAGCCGTTTCTTAAGGCTGAACCAGCTCAGTGCTCTCAGCCTCCCCTCAAATGACATTTTCTACAGCTCTGACCATCTTGGGGGGTTCCTCTGTCGGCCTCGCTACATTAGGTCAGTTTTTCTTGTCCTGGGGTTCCTGCATCCAGCTGAGGGTTCCCAAGAACCAAACAGACGGGATGAATCTCCTTGCTTTGCTCATACAGTGCAGGATGCTGATACAGTGCAGTGCTGTTCATTGTGCAGGGTCAAGCTGCTGGCTCATGTTCAGCTTGCCACCCGCAGCCCCCACGTCCTTCCTGCAGAGCCCTTTCCCAGATGATTTGCCCCCAGCCCATGTTGTTGCATGGGGTTATTCTGTCCCTGGTGCAAGACTTTGCATTTGCTTTTGGTGGGCTTCCCAAGGTGCTGCTCAGCTCATTTTTCCATTCCGTCAAGGTCCCTGTGAAAAACCCCCCAGTGTGTTGACCGCTTCCCACAGTTTGATGCTGCCTGCAGATGCGCTGAGCGTGGGCTCTGTGTTGTCTGTGCTGCTCACGGTGATTTCCAGCCCTGTTCACACTACCGAGCCCCAAGGGCTGCCACTGGTTACTGTCTCCCAACGGGACCTTGCACCACAAGTCATCACAACTCTTTGAGCCTGGTAGTCCAACTAGCTTTCCTGCCACCACGCTCACCAGTTTGGTGGTAGTCCTTGTCAAAAGGCCTTGTTAAAGTCAAATTATGAAAACATGCACTGTCCTCCCCTTGTCCACAGCTCCAGCCAGCTTGTCACGGAAAGGGGGGAGTGATTGCCCTTTGCAAACGCATGCTGACTGCTCCCAATTACCTCCTTGTCTGTCATGTGTTAAGAAATGCCTCCTGAGAGGATTGGTGCCGTAAATTTCCCAGGGCCTGAGGTGAGGCTGCTCAGCCTACAGGTCCCTGGATGGCCCTTCTCGAAGATGAGCCTGGCATGTGGCTTTTTGCTGTGACCTTTCCTGGGTGTGCAGGGCGGCTGAGGCGGGGGTTGCAGCGGGTTTCTGAAGCAGGCCACGGATGTGTGATCCAGGGGAGGGAGCTCACAGGGCAGGGCAGAGGCGCAGCGAGCCCCTGGCTCTGTGCTACGCTCCTCCTTTACCAAAGTAACAAAAATTAGTTTACTTGGAGAAATGAACTTTCGTGTTGGTGCTTTGTTACCTGCTGTCGTTGCGTGGTGTGATGTCTTGGGAAAACAACAGGTTGTGCTCTGCTGGATCACGGTTGTGAAGCAGGATGAGAGTGGAGTTTGAGGATTCGAAGTAAAAGTCACTGGGGATTCCTTAATATGCGGCACCCAGCTCTTGCAGCTGACAGATTCCTTCAGGTGCTTCTCTTCAAGTGTGTTAGCTCTCCCTTTCTCCCATTTTCCTGAGCAGTGTTTCTAGAAGTAGAGGGAATAGCTGCAGGGAGGCACAAATCCACCTTCTCTGGCTGCTGGGTTTCACACTAAATGGGAAGTCTGCTTTTTCTTAAAGCATCACTAAGGGCGGTGTGGAAAGAACCCCTTTTGCCAGAGGAACTCATTACCCTCTCTAGTATTTTCCCTCTTGTAATGAGTGACACATTGAAACTTAATGTTTCCATACGTTCCATACTCTATTATTAATTCATTAATCCATTATTAATTACTATTTAGTTTCTACCATGTTTCGAGAAGGCCTCTACAGGCTACGCTGCCGCATAGAGACAGATGCTGTGCCTCATGGCACACACGTTTTATTTCCTGTTCTCTGAGCAAGGAGCCAACCCTTTTTCTTAAATCTCTCCCCTTGCCTGGTTCTTGTCCCTGCTGTGTTGTTCTATTTTCTCTGCAGATGTGGTCGTAGGTCAGAGCTAAAACACAACTGCAGTGCAGGGAAGGGAATTTTTCCAAGCTTGCAGAAAATCTGCCTCTTGCAGCCTTCTAACTTCTTGTAGTTGGGTTGAAGGAGGAACTAAGTGTTCCACCAGTTTGAACTAGATGCAGGTGACTGGAGTTGAGCAAAGAGGAAGGTAATTTTTCTAACTCATGTTCTTGTTGTAAGTCATAGCTTGCTTGCCTTTTTTTTTTTTTTTTTTTAACTGTAAAATCCTCTTTAGATTGTCATCCTTTGTTACCCGCCTCGGTATTTTAAAAATGATCTTAACTCTAATTTTGACTCATTGATATTATACCTGAGCTGTAACTATGGAATGCGAGGGAAAGGTTGGTTGTGGTGTTTTTCTGGAGGTGAATCTTTTGCAGGTCAATACTGTGGCCAAAGTTTTCCTACCAATTGGAGTAAAAGCTGCCGATGCCGTAGAGGAATCGGCCTCTATGAAAGACTGCCGAAGTTCGAGCGCATTGAGCCACCAATTTTTTTTTTTTCCCCTCTCCTAGGATTATACAATGTAATGTCAGGGAGCATTGTAAATGCTAAGACAAGTGTTTTTTTTTTTGTTTTTTTTGTTTTGTTTGTTTGTTTGTTTCATTTGAACTGTAGTTGAGGAGGAGGAAGGCTTACATGAAGAGATACAGGAGTTTGTTGAATACAGGGTGTTGCTACCTTATGGTTAAGCTTGGATTTGTTAATCTGTTCATGACAAGTACATTGGTGGGTCAAGAGGAGAAGTGCACAGGTGCTGGGTTCCGTCTCTACAAGCAGGTTTGAAATAAGTGTGCATTTGAGCGCTTTACTAGATTATTTTGTTTAGAGATTTAGGTTAATCTTGACTGAAGCTTTCTATTTCCTATATGGAGATTTCTTTCATTAATAGCACACTGACAAACCATTCCACATGTAAAAGAATTTAACGTATTCAACCTCCCGGACAAGCTACACTGGAGAATCAGATCACTGCAGAAGGAGAAGGGGTGCAGTATTGCTCTTTCAGGTGCCTGCAACAGCTGGCAAAGAATACAGTTAAATCTTTAGAATTAAAGGGATACATGCTGGAAAGAGAAAACACAGGCAAAGGCTGTGCAGTTTTGTCAATTCTGATAAAACACAGGCAAAGGCTGTGCAGTTTTGTCAATTCTGATAGCATCTTGCAAGGCTGTCATTCTTGTCAGCTCATTATATAGAATTACTTTTGAGGTATTACTAACGTATCTACTGTCTAAAGAAAATTCCAATTCTAGCATTGAGATTGGTTAAAAAAAAAAAAAAAAAGTACAGGGCTAATTTGTTGCATTTAATGTAAATGTGCTGAAGCTCTCTGGCCTTCCATGCAGTTATATTTAATCTTACACCCACAGAAAACCTGTTTGCAAGCTGTCAAGTTGCACAAGTGCAAGTGTAAATCGTGCTTGCAAACCTGTATCATTAATGCAGGGAATCTTGAAATCAAAATGAAGCCTTTGACTTTTCTGTGTACTAGTAGGGCTAATCGTAATCAGCTGATCACATAAAATGTGGCAACTCTTCGCTACTTTGCAAATGCTAATTATATTTAATATTGCTTCTGTATAAGCCCTGCAACTGATTTGTTTCTTCTTTCTCTTCATGCAGAACTGTTTCATCCAATATAATTTTTTACAGGCTTTCCAATCTTTTTGACTGTGGAAAGACTTCTTACAACTATCCCCTTGGAATGCTTTTAAATAAAATCTTCTATCCAGATATTTGAAGCTTGCAAGATTCATTCTGTCCCTTGTGACTACAGTCCATTTTGTTCTACATATTAACTTCTCCATGCCTTAGCATAGACTTCTAAAAATATTTTGCTCCAGTTAGTTACAACCCAGGATCGCCTGGCAAGCCCTGGAGAAGCCTTCCCTACAGCAGCTCTCGACCGGAGACAGGGTCCCTGGTTATTGCTCCGTGGGGCTGCTGTGTTCCTCTCTCTCCCCCAGGACAGAGAAACGCGGCTTGGGAGATCCACATCAGGACTGTTGTACCATTCCCTGATACCAAACTTGTGAAATATATGTTTGGAAACTGAGCCCTAAGCCTGAAAAGTGGAGGGGTTTTTTTTCCCAGTTGAGACTGGGAAGGGCCTTGGAAGAACAGGGGGAGTTGTGCCCGTTGGCAGGAACATAGCATTTAACTCAATTATCTCCTTGTAGGTTTATAAGATTTGTAGAATTTGGTAGAAATGTCTTTTTCCTGTGCAAAATGCTTCTTGAAAAACACTTTTCTTTCACTTAGAAATTTAATCTATTAAAGAATCAGGTTTTTTTCCTTCTTTCTTCTTCCTGGTGAAGGCTGCTGAGCATAACAGCAGATTCTTACCTAGCAGATGACCTCTCTAAATTAATTGGTCCCAATTCCATTGAAGCAAATTGTTCAAAATGATTCTATTCCAGAGCATGTTTTCATGTCTTCTGCCTTTGATCTTTAAGCCTTGAAGTGAAAGTAGTAAGCTTAAACCTTAAATAGGATTCCTAGAAACTATCCGTTTCCACACAGATTTTTTTTTTGAAAACTCTTGTGTTTGAAAGCTGATTTTAAGTGCCTCTAAATATAAGTCCCTTGTTTCATGCATGTGTGGAAGTGCTTCTATATTTGACTTTGTCAGGGTTAGTATCGCAGCCTAGCTGTGCTGCTCATTCCCGTTCCTTGAGCATCACAGATCCATGGCTTTCAGCACCCAGGAATGGAGTAAGTCACTGCCTTCCTCGCTGAGTTCAGCAGTTTTATTTTTTTACAGGGGAAAAAAAGATAATTTTTATGTCTATCTGCAGTAATTCGGAAAAGCTGCCATTAATGGATAATCACTCAATATAATCTTTTGCATTCTGTGGCCTTGATTGCTATGCATAGGTTTATACTAAACTGCATACTATTTCTGTTGGAAGATAAAGAATTAAAAACTTGGATTGGATTTCTGTGGAGTTATAAAGATAGAGTAGCTTTTTATTTTCTAGCTGTAGCGTCTAGTTCTGGTTACTTTTTTTTTCTTTTTGGAGAAGATTTGCATTTCTGAAATCAGAAATAGCCCTTTTCTAACTCCTTAACAAATAATTCGGGTAATTATCTTTAACAGCTGATGGGAAAAGAGGAAAATGTAGGGATATTGCTTGCCCTGTTTATGGGGCTTGGTTACGGAACCCACTTTCTTGGCAAGTGAGAAGCGTCACAGGGAGCCAGCGCTGTTCCAAGGGCCTTCGG